GCGAGAGCCCCGCGGCCGTCCTCACAGCCCTCGAGACGCTCTTCCCGCCTGTGGGGGGAGGGGAGACGAGGGGGTCCGCCACGAGCAGCCGCTCCGTCGGGTTGGGGTCAAACCGCCTCGGCAGCGCCTCGCACCGGGCGATGACGCCTCCCGCGTCGTCTGAGTTCGAACGCGGCTGCGTGCGGGTCGCCGCGGTGGACCACTCCACACGGGCCGACGTGGTGGACCTCTGGGAGCATCTCCAGCGGCGCTGCCAGGATGGCGGGGCGCGGCCGCGGGGGACGCTCTGCCGGCTCCGCGAGCGCATCTTCACAGACGGGATGCGGGAGCTTACGCGGCAGATCGCGATCCTCTGCCCGGAGCGCGGGCTCCTCCTGAATGAGCTCTGCGAACAAATGGAGCACTCCACAGAGATGTACAAAGCACTCTATGAGAGTGCCTGCCAGTACGCCGTCCGCAAGGCAACTGAGCGGGATCTCCAGAGTCATTTATACGTAGAGAAGAAGGTGCTAGAAAGCGAAGTGCGGCGGGTGGAGAATCGGGTAAATGAGCTGCAAGCAAAGTATGACGGCATGCTTAAGCGCTTTAAGGAGCAGATGGACTCCGCGCGGCTTGCGCACGAGGTAGATATTGAATATGTCAAGAAGTCTAATCAGCAGATTATCACTGAAATCAAGCGCCTGGCTTCGATAGAAAGTGCTTCAAATTGAACTCCCTTTAAAAAAGGGGTAGATCGAATCGAATTAGAAAAATGCCTTTATGAGGAAATGTTGTTGTTTCATTTTCCATTTTTGTGTGTGTCTGTATATCTGTTCTAGCCTTTTTCACAGGCATGTTTGTAAATTCCATCTTTGCGTTTTCGAACAGCCACCGATTAATATAGGTGAGAGAAATGCATCATGTATATAATCAACCTTTCATGAGGAATAAAATTGAGCAATATGTCGGTATGAATAGGTAATTGATACTCCCTCTTGCCGTTTGATGGATATATTTATTCTATCAATGGACTTTGAATATATATTTTTTACTCTTACTGAAGTAGCATAGAAATGAGTAAAGAAATTATGTACGCACTCTAAATTGCTTTGAACAATTCTTATTTCAATCCAGATCTCTATTTCTCTTGTGAGTTGTGAAAATAAATTCATACCATTTTTTATATACGTTTACGCAAGCAAACTATCGTGATTATTATTATTATTATATTGCATTTCTTTGCATACACAGCTAAGGCATTTTCGTTGACTTGATTTCATTTTTTTCTACTGCGTTGACTCTTTTGCACACTTTAAAAATAAATCACCACAAGAAGGTTAGGTTTATAAAGTTGAAGAAAGTTACTTTTCTATACAGTAAGTAAATTATACTGTAAGACAAAGAATAATAATAAGACAGTAATTAAAAACGTTATGCACTCACATACTAAGAATAACTATGAATTTCAGGACCAGCAGAACACAGTGAGTCCTGAAAAAGTGAGTGCTAAGAATTTGATCTCTTTGGTGGCTCTCGCTGGCAAGGACACTGTCCCTATCCCTACGTGTCACTCTATAATAAGCCCAAATGAGGGTAGTATACAGACCTTGAACGCGTTATCACCCATTCAGATGAAAAATACTTTGAAAATCTACAGTAAACTTCCAAGCAAACAGAGCATGACCTCCACCCCAAAGCTGAATATTACATCACCACATTTTGAGCCCTCAAATGCAAATAACACCCAAATTGGTTTTACCACCATGTCTGGAGCAATTAAACGTATTCCTTTGGAAAGGCAGCACCCATCTAAAACTAACTTGGAAAAGACGGAATGCGCAGAAAATGTCAAAGAAAGCACAACTTCCAGGGTTCATCAACGCATCAACAACGCACTAGATTATGAACAAGATGCGAAGAGCCACGTTAAGGCGCTTCAGCTTCTCAGAAATATTCAAACGCGTTTTCTTCACAGTAATGACCAATATAAGTTGATCAAGAGGCCAGGTATACAATATGCTAAGAGTACTCAAAATGAACTTCCACCTACAAAGAATCTATTAAGGTCTGGAGTACAGCAGCAAGCAGTAAAAACTGAATCCCCAGTTGTGACTCGAAAACAAAGTCAGGAAGGTGTTAAAAAAAATGGAAAAAATGACGAGGATGCAAAGAGCCTCAATAACAGACGTTATTCTGGCCATTCAAGATTTGCTTCTCCGTTTTGTGGGCCTCCTTCCCCAATGCGGTTTGGTGCTCGAAAAAAAAGCGAACAAAGTGGTGAAAATGAAGCCATGGAGGCCAAAGCTGAGCATCAAGCGAACCAATTTTATTCCAGTATACCTACTTTGGTTCCAAATATTCCATCCATCTTTTCTGATAGACCGCCCTCTAGCCGTGTGTGCCATTTAAGAAAACCAGACACACATTTAATAAGAATCTCCTCCCAATTACCAAAAGAAAATAAGCAAAAAAACGTTACGACAACTCCCTACACAGCCATGAAAGTTTCTTTATCTGACAACTACCAGTTGGCGCCAGACATACAGAATAAACAGGAAAACTTCAAAGTGGAGAAAGATTTTCATAACTGCAGAGAAGGTTCATTTTCATTTCATCAAGGCAGAGATAATTTATCGATCAAATCGCCTGTTCGTCCTAAATCTTGCCCAAACAAAGGGAACCATGATTTGGTGTCTCTCAAGGTCTTTCGAGGGTTAGTGGATAAAGTACACTCCGAGCTTCTCAACAGGGGTATGAAACACAATCAATATGATGAAATAAAGCAAAATCACTCAGTTGATCATTTTCCTTGCACTACACAAACCTTTACCACCCTTAATCCACCACCGAGAAATGATACTCTATATTCCGAACCCTGCACAAGGAAATCTATGAACGCATTCGGAAAAGAAGCCGTGGAATTGCCAAACAAGTATGGAGGCGGACTGTTCACTCCAAAGCTCAGCCTAAAACACTTAGAAAGTGATGCGGAGATCCGTAAAGGAGAAGAAAAAGAGGAATCCTACGAAGCCTACTCACCATTCATTTTTGAAGGTCGTAATAACGCTCATAGCGATAAGGTAGATAAAACGGCGAAGATATTTCACCAGCAGCCCCCACCACGGCCACCACCGTTCTGTCACAGCAAAGGCTTCAATGCATGGCAGGAAATAGGTGTTATGAGATCGCCTAATAGCCCTCGTTTGGATGATAATGCGGACAAAATTTTCCGCCATAAGGTCCTCTTCAACAAGGAAAAGATGGGAGCAACTATTCAGAATCCTTCCAAAATTTGTCTAAACAAACGGCTGGGGTTATCCACTTCGACTACATTACCCTCCCTTCAGTCTGGAATAACGAACAATCGGTTATTTTCTCTTGGTCATCTAGAAATGGGCATGGCCTCCGCAACACACCCTATGTACGAGGTGAGAGACTCAAAAAAGACAGAACAGGGTAAAGATTACTTTCAAGGAATCCGAAATCTCAATAGTGGTCTTAAAAAACTCGACCTAATGGAAAAGACCCCTCAGACCCCTTACTCTGACAGTAATGTTAATTCCTCAAACAAAAGAGAACCACATGTTGACACAAGAATTAAGCGTTCAGGATATGAAAAGTGCCCATTACGCACAATTTCCAGTGAATCGAAAAATTACCGGAATTTTTCACAAAAAAGATCATCTATGAAATCATTCGGGGCATCAGAAATACAACCATTGAAACATCAAAACGAGCAACCAGAACCGATACCAGAGTCGAAAACCACTCAAGGACAGGACCTTATATATGAATCAAGCCTCCAAACAAAATACATAACATATACAGGAAAGGTATCAACAATTCTAAGGAATATAAAGAAGAAAAATAATATGCCTCTAGAATTAAATGAAGAAAGGACGCATTGCATTAAAAAAACCGTTACTCAGGAAAAGGATGAGCTACAAGGTAAAAAGAACAGGAATGCAAAAGTAGAAGGGCCTACAAAAGCAGTCAAAGAATTAACTAAACCGTCACAACATATTAACACATTCAAAATTAAACTAGACAAAATTGAAGAAGCAATTATCAGTCTCAAACAAAGGACCCAAAAAGAACTTGAAGTTTGCATGGACGAATTCA